ATGTTAAAAAAAATTAACTCTGTGCCTATATTGACTATATATAAAGTAATTCTCCCACGGCACACCTTACACTACGTCACACTAGTGTGCCACGGCACAGTGGTTGAAAAACACTGATCTAGGATATGTTTGAACTTCTGGAAACAGAGGAATTGGAAAGGATTGTCTGTTCTATAAACACTGCTACTGTACATGTGATCTAGACCCTTACTCCTAGCTTATTCAGGCAGGAAAGGGGTGTGTGAATGACTGGATCCAAAAGACTGGATTTTCTCTTCTTGGACAGAGGATATGCCACTAGCATTGATAATGTTACCCAGTTTGGATTAATGAAGCATCTGACACCAACGTCAGAGAGGAGCAAGGACCCCTCATTTCAACCCTGAGCTACAAATATTTTCCTTTATTGATAAGCCACCTGCCTTGAAAGAACACTGTGTTGAAGAAGCAATCCCTCTTTCCAGTCCTATTGGAGAATTATCATCCTATTTCCATATACTTCCCCTTTGTGGAGAAAACTGTTGAAAATGTATTGTTTTAGGTGCAGAAAATTGTTGATGACATCTGGAATCTTTTTGACCGGATTCAAGCCTTAGTACAGAACAGAAGCAGCATTCTTGGGACCCAGTGAGACCTAGGAGTTGGGAGCTTCCCCCCTCTTGTTTCTGTTAGACTACTTCACATCCTTCAGTATCACCATGATACATTATTGAACTACCTATAAGGTCAGTCTGCTGGTGGTTCTACTCAGTGCTTATCAATGGGGAGCAATTGAGCAGATAGTTTCCACCCCTGCCTGAGCCAGTACTTGGTCTCTGGAAAACATGAAGGTCCACATGGATAGAAACAAACTTCAGATTTAACCTCAGAAAGACAAAGTTACTATTTATCCAGAAACATCCTGATCTGTGAACATTCCGGTATTAGTTCTGGACAGAGTTGCTCTACTAATAAAGAAAGTGATCCACACTTCCGCTAAAGAAGGTAGAAACTCTGATTGGAAGCTTTGACCAAGATGCTCAGTCTACAGTGATACATGTCATCATCACTTGTACAAATTAACAGCATTATGGTCTATAAAAGAATTTAAGTTCACAAGCTACAGTTGGAATATAAGATTGCCAAGATACCAGTAGGTGACAGATGCTTTATAAATGTTACACCACTTCTTCAATTGCTGCATTGGTTATCACCAGCGTCCAAGTCCAATTTAAAAACACTATTTTTGATGTAGCCAATCTTATATGGCTTGACTCCAGAGGCTATTATCTCCAGATATAATCTGCCTGGTCCATGCCTGCATGCAGAGTGTATAATTAGAGACCTGTCCCTATGTAAATTCAAACTGTCAGAGACAGTTCTGACTTTGGCAAAGAAATATCTGTACAAATAAATAAATGCAGGATAACAAGCTGTACAATTAAATAGTCCTCTTATAATAACATGCAAAGAAGTACAAATATTTTGGCAACTGTAAAGGTGATCTTTTCAATGTTTAGGCAGATATGGTCAGCTGCTTATCAGAATTCAATAGAATAATTATTATAATTTACTCAATTATCAGAGAAGTCTGAAACTTCATTATACTTGCTGTATTGTTACCGTAATACAAAATGCACAGTGATGTTTTTAAAATATAACTGTGTTTACTAATATTATACGATCTGAAGAAAAAAAACAAAGTATAGTTAAGCAATCTTTGAAATTATTATTTCTTCCTAGAAAGTAACGCTTGAAATTAATGGGCCACAATGTATAATCGGTATACCTTGTCCTCCATTGTTTGCATCTGCTGCATCTTCAACTACAACGTCTTCTTCATCTTCATTGTCTTCTTCTTCTTCATCTGGCTGTTCTTCTAGGATTTCTGGATTTTCACCTACAACTACATTCTCAGCAGGCTGGTCCGCAGGCTGATCAAGTACAGCATTTTCAGCGCCAGCGTTTCCTACACCCTGAGCCTGAGTGCAGAGAAATCAACAAAAATTTCAGTCGAACTAAGATGATGAACTGTACTTTTATCAAGGAAAATTGTTCGAATATTCTAAACAGCAAATGTAGAAACAAACTTCTTTTTAACAAGGCCTTGTTGCTATAGAACAGGGATGTCAAGCAGGGGTTTTATTGAGGGCCACATAAGGGTTGTGGAGTGAAGGTGGACGTGGCCAGGTTGGCCATGGCCAGCACATCACTTGTGTCAGGGGCGCCTATGGGTGGCCTGAGCACTGTGAAGGCTTTGTGCAATCCTCCGTCAGTGAAAACGGAGCCCAGGAGGGCTGCAGCCAGCCCTCCTGAGCTCCATTTTCACTGGCAGAGGCACCGCAGGCTAAGCACACTGCAGGCCGGATCCGGCCCATGGGCCTTGAGTTTGACACCCCTCCTATAGATTAATACTCAGACCCAGCTGGGAGCTGATTTGGTCTAATAATTAAGGCTTGGTTAGGAACCAAGAGACCATGAATTCTAGTTCTGCCTTAAGTTTAAAAGCCAGCTGAGTGACTTTGCACTAGTTACTCTCTCTCATCCCAGAAGGCAATAAACCAATTCCCACTGCAGCCAATGGATCAACACTCAGTTGTCCTGAAAAAAAAAAAGATATCCTGTATTTGCAGGAAAACACTAAGGTGAAAAACAAAGGTTGCTCTAGAGAGATTCTTAACACTTCAGCACAGAGCTATTCTACAGTTCCATCTATAGTATGAAAAGTAGATCGTAGACTGTATGTGGCCTCTGATGTCCCCCTACTCTCCTTGTTTTGCATACATTGGTGTCATATTCCATGCAACCTACCAATCAGATGAGTGTAAGCCGCAGGAAAGAGATCCCTATAGCCCATTAATTGCATTAAAAACAGGGTGTAACTGCAAAACTCCAGTCTATATTATGAGTAGAAATTTATATGAATATAGAGTATATCAAAAAGTTCCTGGTAAGTTTTAAGTTCATGGTTTCCTTAGAAAACAATACGCTAAACTGAGACTTAAAGAGGAAATAACTATAATCTGACAAAGGCTGAGTAACCAAGCTTCAGATGTAGAAATTATTCTGGACTATATAGCAATGTGTTCATATATCACAAATTTAATTGTTTGAAAACTTCAAAAGTTTATAAGACTGAAAGCCTTGGCTTCCTTGATTTCACATCACTATTATATGACATTAGAATACATTGGGAGAGGAGTCTTAATTTCATATGCACAATATTTTAAAAGTGTGGAAAACCAAAATCTCCCAGTCTCGGCAACTTCCAGATATGTAACTTCAATTTGTACAATTTTCAGCAATGGTCATGTTGCATAAAGAATTCTGGGAATTGAAGTCAATACATTTCCAAGCTATTACGGTTATAATCTTGTGAAAATTGAAAACAAGCCATCTGTAATCTATGATAAATGAAACAAGCCAACGTCGTAAACTATGACTTGGCTGGTTTTCTATTTGGTACATTAAGGTGAAACTCCTCTTCAAATCTGCCAGATGGCCTTATGTGACAGCTGAGAACTAAGTGTTTTGGTAATGGAACAAATATGTGTATTTGAAATGACAGATATAACTAGGGTGAGATATAGATACAAATAGGTTGCATCTTTGGTTGACTAGTAAATTACTGTAAACGGGGAAAAAAACCAACTCCAGTATTCTAGTAGTGTATGCTTTGTAACAGCTAGAGGATTTCAGAGCTCTTTCCAGAAAAATATTTATATATTCTCCCTTAATTTAAATTATAGTGGGCTTTTTTCCAGAGCCTATTTCAAATCTCTCCTCTTAGCAGTTCTAGAAGTATGTTCAATTATGTCTACATGCATCAAGGGAATCTGAGTTCTTAGACCACTTACTGTAAGTATCTGTTAATACTCGTATTTGTTGACAACTCTATTGTTGAGTATCTTTAAGCATCTGTTGATACCTGTTGATACTCTACTTAGTATCAACAGAAGTTAGAGGGATGGGAAAGGAAAAGTGCCATGATAATGATGGATTTATATGTTCTCTGTCAGGAGAGAAATTTACAGTAACTCTTCTCCTCCTGCAGAAGTAAGGGACCACTTAAAATAGTGGTCCATTACCCATTATTTATGGAAAGATTTATGGAAACCAATGAATTTCTGAGATGGACTGGAGATTTTCCTAGCTATCAGCTATCCTGTTGAGGCTTTAGTCATTCTGCCAGAGTAACAACACAAGCCATTTACATATTTTCTTCTACGTGCATTTTTCAACCTAATAGAGACCATAAGGCATTGTAATATGCAGCAAAACAGCAGATGATAAAACATGCTGAACCATGACTGGAAAATATATGCTTGAGAAGTCACCATCAGGAAAAATGAATGTGTATGAGAGCATCTGATTATGCATGAGAACAGTACAGCAGCATATTTTGCTTCCCAATAAAGGAGAATATGCTTCTTTTGTTGCATCTTCAAATACCCATATAGTAAAACTATTTTGTACTGAGACAGATAACATTTATTCAGAAAATGCCTGAGCCTGCTATGATAGTTTCATGAATGAACAACCTGGATGCCAAATTTCAGAGCAATTCAAGTGGGACATTCAATTCTGAAGGATCAGGAGTTGAAGGTTAAGGATGTGGACAAGATACTTGAAACTTTCTGACTGATTATTTACTCTCAATCTGTTCACTGTTGGTGTTTTAATTGCTGGTGGAATGACCCAGATGGTAGGTCCAGACTACAATAAATGTTATTCAATAACTATATGAAATTAGTAAGGGGAGTCATCAGCAGAATAGAACCAAATTCCATTACAGTGTCAATGGCAACAGTTTTACATCTGTTATACCAGAATCAGAAAGGGTTACGAATATTTCAGTCAGTGTCTGGATCATGACAAGTAAATTGAATCTTCTAATAAGATTGATGAAGCATTGTTAGCTGAAGAAATATGGTTGATCACTTCAGGCATAAATTCAAAACCTCAACACTTGATAACATAATGCACTCTGTAAACCATCTGAAAGCTATGGATAGTATACCACATAGCTGCGAGCTTGCTCTATGAAACACCTAGTAGAAAAACTGCATTAGCTACCACTTTTATGCTGAGGTTAACCTAACAAAGTAAGTCTAGGAAATCTGAAAAAATGCCTTTTCAGATATTAGAGGCCATGGTGGTTGTACCATAACTCTAATTTAGTTGCCAACTTTGCGAGGATTGAATACCATTGTATGCTCTTGTACAATGATGGGAATGCCAAAGCAAATTAAAATTGTTTTTAAATATTTATGAAATCTCACGAGAACTAACGATCCCAGGAAAAGTCTGCCATTTTTTTTTTGAAAATGTTCTTTTTATTTTAGGAGCAATGGATACCATCTGGAAGTGTTCCTGGAAACATGTCAGAAAACAACCAGTCCTTCATTAAGATCCATATATTAATCTGCACAGGTCATTATAGTCAAAATGTATTTTAATCCTGTAGAGTGCTGTGAATTTATTACATGATGGAAAATATGTAAATATTTTAAACTTGTTTTAAAAGAAAATGTGCATTTATTCATAAACTTTATTATTTCAAAATAATGTAAAACAAGTCTGTTTTCCCAACAGCAGAAGTAGGTAGTTCATAAAGCTGCTTACTGAAGCTCAGTCTCATGGTAAACAATGATTTAGTAACGTGGTTAAACATAGCCTTTCTGTGACATTTAATAAGCATAAGAAATAAAGCATCAGTGTTCAATATCATTATAAATATACCACTCTTTGGATTAACCTCAAGTCGTAAAGCTTGTGCTAGGAAAAAAATGTTTTATGCAACAGATTATATGAATGGATCCAACATGTTTGATAAACACTTCCAGCTGTTTAAAGATAGGAAAAAGAAAGAGAAAAGGCTTACATGTATCAAAAAAATTCAAACTGGGGGAGTCGACCTGAAGTTTTCCAGCTGGACAGACGTGGGGCATGTGAGCTCTGAAGAATCTCACGTGAACCCTGTCTGACAAACTGTCTCCGAGATCCGTTTCTGGATCAGAACCCTCCTGTGGGGGGTGAAGAAGGGGCAGCATCTCATCAGACCCAGAGGGAGTGCAACAGGTCCCTCGTAGGTCAGAGATTTGCCCTTTGAATCGGAGCCAGGACGGCAGCATGGCAACATGGCTGCACAAGAAGCTGGCTCCAGGCCAAAGCAGCTGAACAAAAGTGTGCAGAGGCGAGATGAAAGCCTGGTAAGATCTATTAACCCACAGTTATAAATCAGAATTTGGAAAAGGCAAAGAACTTTGAGAGCATAAATTATATATATGTATGTATGTATGTGTGTGTGTGTATATATATATATATATATATATATATATATATA